TATTTAATGAGTAAATTGATAACACAAACAAATGGAATTATATGTAATGATATAATTTTTACTTTAGAAGATAGAATTCATTCAACATTAAACGATGAAAAAATATCAAATATTGCATTTGTTCCTAAAGGAATTAAAGAAATTGGTCAAAGTTGCTTTGAAAATTGTCCACAATATGAAAAAATATCACTCCCTCAAACCGTTAGATTTATTCATATCAATGCATTTACTGGTTGTTTATTCCTTCAAACAATAACTTTACCAAATGACATATTATCAATTGATGATTTTGCTTTTTCTAATTGTGTATCTTTAAAAAGAAATAACATTACCTCCTTTCTTATCAAAACTTGGAAAAAATGCCTTTCTTGGTTGTACCTCATTAACTTCTCTTGTTCTTGGAGAGTATATAACTTCAATTGATTTCTGCACATTTAAAGACTGTTCTTCTCTTCAAAAAGTTCATCTTCCTAACCATTTAATTTCTATTGAACATCATGCATTTTGTGGTTGTAGAAATTTAAAAGAATTATATTTACCGTCTTGTCTTACTTCTATTGGATTTTGTGCTTTCAATGAGTGTGAATCAATGAGTGTTATTAATCTTGACCATGTATCACAAATAGAAGGAGGTGCTTTTAGTGGTTGTCATAATCTTAAATTAATACAAATTCCTTTATTAACTTCAATCCCTGAATATTGTTTTAGCCAATGCAAAGAATTAACACAAATATCATTTGGAAATTATTTAACTTCAATACAAAATAATGCATTTTATGAATGCCTTCAACTTAAAACTCTTTTATTTCCTTCAAACCTTGTTTCTATTGGAAGTAATTCTTTTAGTGGTTGTACTGGATTAAGTAATTTTGAATTACCAAAAACACTGACTTTTATAGGAGAAAACAATTTTAAATCAATAACCATAAATAAAAAGAAAGATAATTGTATTCTTGTTTAAATCAATCCGTTGAATGACATTCTTTTAACACAACTACAATTTTCATTATCCCGTTCTATTCGATAAAATTCTTCATTAAAATTAGATAATTTCTTTACAAAATTCTCATCATGTGTAATTAAGATAATCTGGAAATTTGATAACTTTCCTTGTGATTCAAGTAAACTGCATAATTGTTGTGCCAAAGATGTACAGTTTTCTTCATCTAAATTAATTGTTGGTTCATCTAATGCTAAAACAGAACATTTAGAACAAAATGTCTTAGCAAGAGCAATTCTAATAATTACTGAGGCTAATGCCTTTTGACCCATAGAACATCTTCCTCTCATTTCCATGGGAATACCATCTTTAACCATATCAACTCGATAGTTATAAGTTGTTCTTGCCCCTTCTTGATTAGGGTCTTCAGCAACAATTTTAACTGTTTGAATGTCTTGGGCTGCATATACACCTGACCATAAATCATTAATAATATCATTAATTTCTTTCATTTTCTCTCTATGATACTTTGTCATAGCTCTTCCTACTGCTCCTTTATATTTATCTAAATCTTCAATTGTATTTTTTTCAACAATTCTTCGAATAGATAATTCATCATATTCTGTTTCTAACTTTCCATTTGGATTAAGTCTATTTATATCTTCTTTGTGCCTAAGTATGTTGTTTGTTAATATTTTTAATTCTCCTTCAATTTCACTAACTTCATTCATTAACTTATCTCTAATATTTTCACAGGACTTTATTTCTTTTTTTGTTTGTTCTATCTTTTCTTCACATTCTTTGTAATTTGGACTCTCAACAACGTTTTGAATTGAATCAAGACATTCTTTAGTCTCAATATACTTTTTATCTTCTTCATATTCTTTAATTTTTAGTTTTTTAGTATTAATTTTATCTTGTACATCCCCACTTGTTTGTCTTAATATTTCAATTTCTTGTTCTATTAATTTTAACTTACATTGGTCATTCACAAGTTTCTTTTGATTTACCTCAAAAACTCCTTCTAATTCTTTTACTCCTTTAGACTTCTTTAATGAAGTTTCCCAAACTGAAATATTTCTTAGCTTTTCTTGAATTGTTTTTATTTCTTTATTTCTTTTTTCATTTCTTTCATTATAGTTCTTTTGTCGAGACTCTTTTTCTTGACATCTTTTATTAACTTCTTTTTCTTTATTTTCTATAATTTTATTTTCTTGTCTAATTTCCTCTTTTATTGTAGTTATTAACCTTTCTAATTCCTTTATTTCATTTTCTGTTCTTTTCCAATTTTTTTCTTTTTCATCTATCATTTGTGTTAATCCTCTTATATTTAAACTTTTTTTTTCTATATTATTCAATTTTTCTTTCTCTTGTTCTTTAGATTTTATGATTGTCTGCATACAAATCTCTTCTTCTTTTAATTTTAAATTTAATTGATTTTTAATTTCCTTTAATTCATTAACACTCCTTGTTTGTTCTTTTGTTTGAATTTCATTCAGTTCTTCTTGTTTTCTTTTATTTTCTTCTTCTTTTTTAATCATTTCTTTTATTTGTTCATACAAATCTTCTTGTTTTTCAATTTCATTACTATTTCTTTCTATATTTGAATCAAGATCATCTCTACATTGGTATTGTTCTTGTAACTGATTCTCCATTTCATTTAATTCCTTTTCAATTTGTATAACTCTTTCCTCATTTTCTTCAATGATTTTCTGATTATTTTCTCTTTTCTTTTCAATTTCTTCGAGATTTTTTAATTCTTCTTTTTCTTCTTGACTAAATCTTCCCATTTTTTTAATTTCTTCTTTTCTTTCATTAATAACTTCATTATCAATATGTTTATTTCCACAAACTGGACATATTCCATTTTCCATTGCTTTATGAACTAATTGTTCTGCTGCTGTCCAAATTCCCCTTTCCATTTCTCTTAATTGAATAATTCGTTCTTTATTCTTTTCTTTATTACCTAATTCATTAATTTCTTTTTTTGCTTTATTTAATTGAAATACTTTTTCTTCTTTTTCACGAATAAGTCGTTTAATTTCCATTTCTATTTTTACAATATTTCGTTTTGTTTCTTCACTATCATTTTTCATACTTAAAATTTCGTTTTTTTGTTTTTTTATTGTCTCCTTAATATCTTTCTCTTTTCCTTGAAGATCTTTACCAACAGTTAATTTAAAATTTTCTAATTCTGTTTTATTTTCATTAATCTCTTTCATTAACCTTTCTATTTTAATTTGTTGTTGAATATTTTCTAATGCCCTATTTATTTCATTATCAATTTCTTCAATATCTTTTTTAATTTCCTCTAATTTGATTTTACTTTTTTGTTCTTTTTCTTCAAATGATTCTTTTGACAACTGTTTTTTTAAATCATCAATTTCTTCATTCTTTTTAATAATATCTTTTTTCATTTCATTAATTTCTTCTTGAATTTCTTGGTCCCTTTTCTTTTTCCTTTCATTTTCTGTAGTTTTGTTATTAACATCATCTTGTTTTATATGAACATTATACTTCCTATTTTCAAGTTCATTTTTTATTTCATTAACTTCTTTGCTCATATCTTCAAGTTCTTTTTCTTCTTTTTTCTTTTCTTCTTCAATTTCTTTTTGTTTTTCTTCGTTTTTTATCTTTTCATTATTCACTTTCTCTTCAACACTTTCAACTCCTTGAATCTTTTCATTTATTTCTTTTTCTAATTCTCTTCTATTTTTTAAGTCATTTTCTAATAACGTTTGATCTTTCATTTGGTTGTGAATTTGCTTACTCAATTCTTGATGTTGTCCTTCTTTATTAACTTTTTGTTGAACATCAATACTTTGTGTTTCTAATTTTTTAATTTCTTCATTTAAACTTGTAATTAAATGATCCAATTGATCTCTATTATTAGAAGGAATTCTATTAAAATTTTGAAGTTCATCTTTATACCTTTTAATTTGAGCCATGTAATTTTCTTTCCTTCTACTTTCTTTTTGTAAATCACCAAGTTGAGAGTTAAGTGATTCAATTTCTTTAGTTTTAAGTTCTTTTTCTTGAAGTTTTTGAGATTTAATCATTTTTTTTTCATCAATATCATGTTGACTTTTTTGAATTTCGTTTTGGTCTCTTTTTAGTTTATTATAATCTTCTGAGACTTTAACAAATCTTAACTCAGTTTCTTTTGATCTTTCTTTACAACTTTTTTGAAGTTTTGAAACGTCGTCAAGGAATTTAGTGTAATTACTTGTACCAAATACATCATCAAACTTTTCTTTTAATTTTTTTGGTTCTTCAAATGGCCAAAATGAATCTTCTTGATGACAAAACAAAACTGAGTCTAACATTACTGCTGATGTTTCAATTGTACTAGTGAGAGTTCCATCATTTATGTCATGTTTTTGTCCATCTAATTCTAATTTAGCTTCTTTTGCTGAAAATTTTGTTTTTCCAAGATTAATAGAAACTCCTAATTTTCTTGAAATTGTTAATTTTCCTTTTGAAGTATCCAATGAAAGGTTGATATATGCGTCAGTCTTTTTTGTTGCTGACATTGTTGGGTCTCTAACAAATAATTTTCCTCCATTTGAGTTTGGTGGAGAAGTTCCTGTACATGCATATCTTACAGATTCTATAATAGTTGTTTTTCCTGCTCCATTTGGACCAGTTATTAAAGTTAATGGTTTAAAGAATTCTATTTCAACTGGTTTATCTGGGTTAATACTTCTAATTCCTGCAATTTCCAATTTATCAAAAGTTGTCATTGAATAATATTTTTTTTATTTTTTTTTTATTATTTTTTATTTTTTTTTATTTTATTACATTTGATGAAAAATTACGTAATTAACTTTATTTATTATTTATTTTTATATTTTTCTTTTTGAATTAATCAAAATGATATTTCTTTGTTTGTTATAGAATTTTAAGATCTTTTCTTCTTAATTAACAAGAAATTATATTTCATTCTCTTTTATGTATTAAACTTATTTCTTTAGGTAAAAAAGAGCAGTTTTATATACAATTACAATGAGATTAAATATAAAAATTAATATGAATAGATTAAAAAATAATAATCATTTTAAGTTGTAATTAGAATAATACCATTTTCTTTAAATAATTATTTTGATGTATTTTATCATTATCTTTAAGATTTATAATAATAACAATTATTTTATTGACTAGTTTGAATGAAAGTAAATGATAACTTCTTTAAAATAAATTATCAAATTTGTTTGAGCTAATACAACAAATAAGTATTTATTTCTGATTATTACTAGAAATTTGTAATTTATAATGAATTAATTCAATATCCATTTCACGTTATTTTTATCTGAATAATAAATCCAATGTTAAACCACAAAACAATAACTAATAAACTGAATAAGATTTGATAACAACAACTAAACAGAATGCGTCTGTTTTTTTAGTCACTCCAATCATCATCATCTTCCTCCTCTTCTTCTTCATTATCAACCATATTCATATCCTCTCTTCTTTTAACCATAATTCCTCTCAATGCACTAACAATATCATCGTCTTGTTGAACTGGGACATTGTCTTCTACTGGAGCGGAGTTAAGATCATTCCTTTTTGCCTGTAACTGTTCTGCAAGAGAAGGACCGCTTGGAACTGTTGAGACAGGAGCAACAACCTTTGGTTCAAGTGGCGGTGGTGGTGGTGGTGCGTTCTTTGTTCCTCTTCTAGGTGGTGGCAATGCAGGTGCACCTCCTCTTGGTGGAGGAACAGGTGGTGGTAATGAAGGTGCTTGTCCATGTGGTGGAGGAACAGGTGGTGGTTCAACTGGAAGATGATGAGAAGGCACATTTCTATTATCAGGCTTTGGTGGTGGTATAGGTTTTCCTTTTCCTTGAGGCGGTGTTGGTAATTTTTTATTTGGAGGTGCAGGTGGTTTACGAGAAGGGACTTGTTTACCAGTTGAACTTGTTAGTGGTTTTCTTCCGGGAGGAGGTGGTAATGTTCCATGGGTGGAAGAAGGTGTTTGTTTATCATTTTCAGAAAGCAATGAGAAAATTTCTTTACGAGTTGTTTCATCTTGTAAATCTTTCTTACGAATACCTGCTTGTCGTAATTTTAATTTCCATTCTGGTGAAATAGAATCCAAGTTAACTTGTCCGTCTGACCCTACACTAACATGATTAATTTGTCTAAAGTCAGTTGGTTCAGAGATAACCATATTCTCAAAATCTTCTTTGGGATGTTTGTTTCTGAACAACGACATCTGTGAACAATTAGATTTATTTTTGAGAGGTGTATTATTTTTTTCTTTTACTTTTCGCTTTTCATTTTTTTTTCATCTTTAGAAAATTATTCTTGAAGGAAAAAGTATTTAAAATCAAAGTCTTTTCCAAAAACTTATCACCTTGTTGACAAAAAAATCATATCTAGTTGTCATTCTAAAAATAAAAAGAATAATGGAAAGTAGTGTTTTAATTGTTTAAATTAACTCAGTACCAAATGAATGAAAAGAAAGTAATTGTTTAAAAAGAGTAAATTAATTTTTTACTTCTTGTGCATAGTCAACTACCATTTCTTTAGAATAATCAGTACGACATTTTAACATTTCATTTGGATCAATAAATTCAAATCCGCCGTCTTCAATAATTGTATTAGTAATAGAAATAACATTAGTTTTATCAATACAATAAATTTTGAATAACATAGTTAAATTTTCAAACATAGATTTAATAGATAAAGGGAAAGAAGATGACCTAATCAGATCAGTAAGATACCTAATGTCATACATAAATATAAACCCACCACTAAATGGAGTAATTTTTAATTTCATAAATGTTTCAATAAGAGTATTATATAAGTTTCTTCCGAATGAAATCACAAAGTTTTTATGATTTTTTCCTGTAATATATTTGTCAATAGAATTAAGATATTCTTTAAGATATTCACAAAATTCTTTACAAACAAGAGTACAAGCAGGAGAATGTGTCCATGTCATATCATTTTCATCTTTAAAAACAAATTCAGCTTTATACTTTAATTTTTTTTCAATAACTTTAGTAATCCAATCATTACTATTTTCTAATGACTCAGTAATATTTTGTTCCATTTCTTTATATTTTGTATTAAATTTAGTAATACATTCATTATATTTTTGATATGAAAATTTAAAGTTAGGTAATATCTCTTTTTCTAATATATTTTTAATTAAATTTATTGCATCACAATTTTGTTTAATAACTTCTAAATATCCATTAAAGAAATTAACAGACTTTAATGGGTCAGTTGAATATTTTTGAGTTAAATAGATCATTTTTTTAATACTATCATTTAATACTGAATCAACCCAATTCATTAAACTTTCAAATAAAGAATATATAAATGATACTAAATCTTGAGTTGGACATAATACTTTTGATCTACTTATTGCAAAAGAGAATTGTTGTAAAATGAATTGGATAGTAGAAATATCAATAAGTTTATTAAGTTCATCAACTTTAGTTTTAGAAGGAGAATCAACTTTAAGTTCTTTTTTAAGTTTCATATAATTTGATTTATTTGTATCAAATAATTCATTAATATAAGCCTTTTCATTAATTTGATAATATTCATCAATATCTTGTTTAAAACAGTCATCTATCATTTCATTCATAAATTTCATTGAAACAATTTTAGATCCTACTATACTTTTACTTAATAATGTAATTGTTTGATCAACTGCATCATATAATTTAAATAAATATTCCATTGTACTTTGACTTGATTCATGAAGATAAATATCTAAAAAGTTTTGAATTCTAAATTCAAACATTTCTTGAATAAATTTTTCATTTACTATTTCTTTTTGAATAAATATTTTATCAATTTCTCTTTTTTCTTTTTGACTTTGATTTATCATTTTTTTATAAAACATTTCTAATCGTTGATTATGAAGAAGTAATTCTTTATTTGAAATTTCTTCTTTTTCACTTGCTAATTTTTCATCAACATTTACTTCATTTTCATTTAGAAGAAATTCATTATTTTCTATATAATAATTAATACTATTATTTCCTCTATTCAAATAATATAATAATTCAGCATTGTCTTTCATTTCTAAATAATTCTTTTCATCAAATCCTTTATTAAATTTCTTTGTTAATTCTTCATTTAAATGATTATAATAGTCTCCAACATGTTGAACTCCCCAAATAACATTTTCATTGGTTAACTCTCTACATAATTGTTTGAGTTTTTGTACTCTAATAACAAATTCTATATCTGGATATTCAACATCATAATTTTTAACATTAAACTCTTCATCTTTACTCATTTTATCAAACATTCGAAGCATTTCTAATACTTCTTTATCTTTTGTAACTTCTTCTCTTAAATCTAATAGTCTTTCTCCTGATTGCATAACTTCTTCACTTAATTGATTTAATCCATTTTCTGTTCCTTCAAACTCTTCTATTGCTTTTTTCATTCTATCTTTTGCTGTTTTTATTACTCCAAGATATGACTCTTCTTCTTCAACACACTCTTCTTGAAGTGAATTGACAGATGACACATACAGCGAAAACTGACTTTGTAACTTTTTTTCAGCAATTGATAAAATTGAGAACAACGGCTCCATAGAGAATGCCTCAATACCTTGTTCTAATGAAATGTCACATTGTTCAGATAATAAATCATCGATATAATTAAATGGATCAAACATCCTTCCTGAAAAAATGTTTATATCTTGTAACTTTCGTTCAATCTCAGATAAATCAACTGCTTTTTCGCTTGTTGTCATCTTTTCTCTTTTTTTCTTTTAGTTCTTCTATTCTTTTTTTCGAGTTCTAAATACTCCTTTAGTTCGAAAGTTTCTCCTTCATTATTTTTATTTTAATTTTAACTAAAAAGGTAATCAGAAATTCCATTTGACTTATTATATTTATTTCCCTTAATCAATTTAGAATGAAAAAATCTTATCCAAAAAAAAATAAAATTAATAATAACAAAATTGAATAATGTTATATATAACTTAAAAAGAACTTATTAAAATTAAACTAAAAAAAAAGTAAATAATTCTATGTCAAAAAAAAAAGAAGAAATTAATGAGTTTCGTGAAGAAGATAGAGTTGCAACACCTCCAACACGAAGTGGAGGGGGTGATGATGGAACAGATGATTTAATTAAAAATCTCAGAAAGTCATTATCAGATTTAACAAAAGTTGAAAAAATAGAAGAAGCGTATGGAATTACTACATCAAATGAAAAGACAAAAACAAATGAAGAGGTTGAAGAAGTTGATATTCTTAATGATGAGATATCATCTCCTGCTATTCGTGTCGAATATGTTGATTTTTTTGAAGACGAAATATTTGTTGACGAGAAAAAAAAGCCAATTACATTTAAAGCAAAGATTCATCGAAAAAGAAAAAATGAAGATGTTTCACAAGAAGAAGAAGAACATATTCACAAACGATTAGCTGAAGAAAATAAGTATATGGATAATAATAATAATGAACAAAAATAAAATAATATAAATTTATGATATATGTAATTTACTTTTTATTAATAAATTCAAATAACATAAAGAAATTTTCTTAAAAAGAAGTAAAATGAATTAGTTTCATATTAAAAAGTACAAAGAATTACAAACAAATATTTTCACTATTATTGTCATATGTATCAGAATACATTGTATTATCAGAAAGAAGTTGTTCAGGAGTACGAGAGAATAATGAATTTTCTTGAGGTGTTTCACAGTCGATGTATTCTTGAAACTCAACTAGTGAAGATTTAGTATGTTTTAAACGAATAGATGTTTGTGCTCGCTGACGTTGTTTTAATGTAAAAAGACCATCTCCATTATTAGATTGTTTAGTTGTACGAACTAAACAAACACAAGGATCACTTTGAGCTCTTTGACGTTCAGCATTATTGTATCTTTCTATTAATTCTTCTGTAATAAATCCAGTCTCTCTTCCACCAGGACGTGAAAATTCAATTTTTAATTTCTTCCCATTTAATTCACTTTTATTCATTGTTTTTAATGCTTTTTCTGCTGAACGTAAATCAAAAAATTCAATAAATCTATGATGTTTTTTGTTTGGAGTTTGTCTGATATCTTTAATTTCTCCAAATTGTGAAAATATTTGGTGAATTAAAGTATTTGTGATAGTTTCATCTAAATTAAAAACAACAATACTTCCATGATTAATTTGATTTTTATCACGAGAAATAGTATAATGGACTTCAAGAGTTTGATTTCCAATTACAGTTTTTTGTAAGATTTTTATGGCAATTTTAGCACTTCTTATATCATAATACGTTACAATTATAAATCCTCGACTTTTTGTTTCAAAATTGATAGCCTCAATTTCCCCAAATGATTCTAATAATTGATAATAAGCTTCACTGCTTACTTCTGAATTTATATTAGATATAAACAGTGTATGTGTTTGGTGTTCATTAACACTTTTATTAATTTCAAAGGAGAGGTATCGTGGTGTTTTCCCTAAACTCATTCAACACAATTCTTCTTAGTTCTGTTTTTTCTTCTTTTTGCCTTTCTTCTATCAAAAATCATCCTTTTTTTCCTTTTTCTTTCGTTCTTTTTTTTTTTAAGAAAAATATCCTTTCATATTTATTAATCATCTCATAATTAAATACTCATCATTTTTTTAGTATTTTTCTTGTTTTATATCACAATAATAAAAGTTGTATTTGAATTAAATTTCATTATGTGTCAAAATTCTAAAAATAGAATTAGATTTATTTTTAAATGCCCTTTTCCAAATTCTTTATTCAATCGTTTAAACTAATTCGGAATTTGAGGTTAAAACTTGGCAATGAAAAAAGAAAAAAGATAACCACGAAGAGACTGATATGAAAAATAAAAAGAAATGAAAACGAAAAAACATTAAGGGGTTATAGGTAGAAAAAAGAACCAGAAAATAATGACAAAGAAAAATAATATAATTTGCCGTTACTTCCATTTTTTTCACAAAAACAATTTTTTTTATCCAAACATAAAAATTGAACTAAGCAAAAAACTAGAAAACATTTAATTATAAAAAATGACTGATGATGTTGATGGAGCTTTATCAAAATGGAAAATAAATGGAGGGAAAAAAAATACAGTGAGTTTGTTTTCAACACCTGAAAAAGAAAAATAAATAAATGTATTTACTTTGTTTTAGCATTAGTTCATTCTAATACACCTGGAACAATTTCACCAATTGATGAAGGAAGTTCTTCAAATTCACAGGGTAAAAGTATTACTCTATCACCTGCTTTTGATGAATCTGTTGTGGTTCCAATAAGAAAAGCACGATCAAGTTCGACATCAAGTTCATTAACAGTGCCAGAATTTGCATTAGAAACCCCAGGATCACATACATCAGTATTTATTCTTCCAAGCCAACCTGCGTTAAAACCAAAAAAAAAAAGAGGAAGGTCAGTTGCAGAAATTTCACAAGAGTCAACAAATTATAATGCAATACAAGCAGCAATTTCTTCTACATTAAGTGAAAGTACTTCATTATCAAGAAAACATTCAAGAAGAGGTTCTATTTCAAGAGTCTTTTCTCGTTCTACTTCACGAAGATCATCACCAGAACATCATAATTTTAGTGTTGACGAATTAAATTTAATGAAAAAAATATTATTATCACTTTTTGAATACTCTTCACCACCTGTTATTCCTACAAACCCTCCAATTGCTACTCCAAGTAAGCATTTAGTTATTGACTTTACACAATGGTGTGATTTTCTTGAATTTTCACCTGTTTCTTCTGTTTCAGACTTATGGAGTTCTCTTATTACACCAACTGAACAATACCTTCATTCAACACCAACAAATGCAGAAATTGTTCAAGGATTTAATTATGAAACTGGTCCATTATCTGTTACTCATTTAACAAATTTAAATGACTTTACAATATTAAATGTAGATGAAGATTTCCCATATTATGAACATTTCTTCTATAGAAATAATTCAGTTAAACATTACTTTGATAAAACAAATAATCAAATTGTTTCATGTATTAAAGATAGTAAATATATGAGAACTATTGTTCGTTCAGAAGCAGGAATTTATAGGTGTATTATTATTTCTGAAGACTCAGCACTAAAATGTGTAGAAGTGTTTCACAATTCTAATCAAGTTACTAGATTAGCAAACCATACTGAAGTAGATGATGATTTACTTCATTTTCATCAAAGTGTTATTATATCAAAATATAGATTTGGTGTTGTTTATGCTGGTCCGGGACAATCTTCAGAAAATGAAATTTTTGCAAATAATGAACCATCACAAGCGTTTTGGAAATTTATGAATTTAATTGCATCTAAAGTAACACTTGAAGGATATCAAAATTATTCAGGTGGACTAGACACTCACACTAATGTTACTGGAAAAGAAAGTTATGCTACTCAATATGATAACTATGACTGTATGTTTCATGTTGCACCATTAATACCTCGTAATAAGAATGATGAACAGTCATTAGAACGTAAAAGATTTGTTGGAAATGATGTGGTGGTTGTAGTGTTTAAAGAACAACTTAATAAAGATGATTTATTTAAACCAGAAACAATGACTTCACATTTTACACGTTTGTTTTTATTATATCTTTATATTTTTTAAATATATATTTAATTCTATTTAGACGTTTATATAGTTGTTACTCCTGCAATAACTACAAATAATAATAATTCATATAAAATTTCTGTTGTGTCTAAAGACTGTGTTCAGCCATTTCCTCCTTTCTTAATTCCATCTCATACACAACCTATTCTACCTGTTTTAGCCCATGGCCCTCAAGTAAGGCAATTCTTTATGCAAAAAATTATTAACGCAGAAAGAACTGCATTAAAATCAAAAACATTTGCTGCAAATAATAAAAGAGTTCTTCAATCCCAAATTAATCGTTTAATGGAAAAATATGCATGAATAATTGTTCCTTTTGTAATTTTCATTTTATTTCTTTTGAACAATATCTAATGTAAGTATTATCTTTAGTATTTTAACTATTCTTTAAATATTAGAAATGACTATTATCTTTTACTCAAATGGAAGAATCATTGATCTTTTTTTGTTTAAGTAGTAAAATTCATTTTAATTAAAATTTTTGTCCTTTCAATCTTTGTTGACTTTTCATTATTTTTTATAGGAAGGAATTAATTTCTAACATTATGTTTATTTAAAATAAATAATAAAAATACTATTTTTGAATGAAAATTTCACTCTTTTAAAATGATTAGATAAAATAAGAAGATTAGATTATTTTTTGTTATTTTTTTTCTATTTAAAATGAAAAAACCCTTTTTGATTTTTATAAAAAAAAGATATTTACATTTGATTTATGTCAACTTCAACACCACAATTTCAAATTATTTCAACAACAAAAGTTGGGAGTATTCCATTTGTTACAATTGATAATTATGAAAAATATTTAAAAGAAGTTAATACATTTTTATTTTGTTATAGAGATTTGTTTGTTAAAGAATAAGTAAAAATAAAAGGATTAAAGTATTTATTAGTAGGTATGAAGCACAAGAATTTATATTAAAATATGGGAAGGGATATAAAAAATATTTTATGATGCCAGAACAAAGTCATCATATTCTCAGTATGTCATTAACAGAAAAAATTGATGATAGTTGTAATAAATTAACTAAAGCAGAATTTAATATTACAACAAGAGGTGGATATAGACCATTAACTATTCAACAAGTTATAAATTTTTCAAATCAAAGTGGTTTTGATAAAATTGAAGGGTTTTGTTATTCTCCTTTAGAGAAAAGAAAAACAAGTAAAAAGATGAAACAACAACGTCAAATTGTTATAAAAAAATTAAAAGAAATGATTGAAGAAAAAACAAAAAAAGGTCTTACAATTGAAATTATTGCATCTATTGGATTAACTGGATTAGATGATGATATTCAGTATGTCAAAGATATAATTCAAACTGGAATTCATGAAATTGTATTTGATTGTGAATATATTGAAGATAAAGATAAAATATTAGATTTTATTCAAAATATAAAAGATTTATGTAATAATATTAAAATGTATGTGAAATTATATTCATTTAATCTTTCTCAAATTATTCAAGCAGCTTTAATGAATGTTTCTATTTGGACAAATTCTATTAATGAGTTTACTCTTCATGGGCAAGCATTTGTTTTCCCTTTATCAATCAATCAAAATAATAATATTACTTCTATAGACTTATATAATACTTGTTATAAAGATGTAGTCAATGATGTTTGTGTGAATGGTTGTGAATGTTTCTCTTGTAAATCAAATCAATCCCGTGCATATATACATCATTTATTATTATGTCATGAATTAACTGGAACAACATTACTTTCTCTTCATAATTTCCATTATATTCACAAATTAGAACAACTTATTAATTCTCTGTTACTTAATGATCGTTCAAAATTACAACAACTAGCTGACTTTTATAATTCACTTATACCTCCTCCTGAATTCCAAAAAGTTAAACTTTATGCTGATCATAGAACTAAAGAAAATGAGGATGATGATTGATTTAATTCATTCTTATTAATTTTGTTGTTTTATTTTTCTTAATTATTCCCTTTAAGTAAAATGTACTTAAAATAAATAAAATATATGGTAAATTAACAACATGAGGATTGTTGTTTTTCTTTTGTATTCAAATTGGCTTCTGTTGTTTCAGGTAAACTATCCATTAATAATTTATTTGCTAAAATTTGACTTGCAAGTTTTTCAAATGCCTCTTTTACTCCTGTACCATTTAAAGCAGAGCATGTCATTGATACTAAATTTCTTGAATGAGCATATGATTCACTCATTGAATCAGTAACATCTCGTTGAGTTGAATCAATTTTATTTCCAACAATAACAATTTCTGAGTTTGGTTGTTCTCTCTTATATTCTTCTATCCAATAATCTAACTAACTTATCAGTACGTCTTTTCGTTTCAAACTATCCTCACTTTTTTTCTTATTAATTGACAAGCTCACATAAGAATAAATAGAAGAACAAACCATTTCAAATGATCCTTTGTTACAAACATCATACACAACCAAACATCCTTGAGTTCCTCTATAATAACTTGTTGTTACGTTTCTAAATCTTTCTTGTCCAGCTATTTTTGGTGAGTTGATTTTATTTAGAAACTAAAGACTCAAAAAAAAAACAAAAGGTCATTGAAGTTTAGTAGAATGACAACAAACCAGTATCCCAAATCTTTAATTTAATGGTTTGTCCATTGACTGAAATAGTTTTTGTATTAAAATCCATTCCAATTGTTGACATATAATCACCTTTAAATTGGTTTTCACAGAACCGTTCCATAATGGCAGTTTTACCAACAGAAGACTCTCCAATAACAAGAACTTTGAATGTGTATATACTTCCTTTCATAACAAATAAAACAAACTAAGATTTTTTATTTTTTATTTTTATTAACTTTTTAATAAGTTTTGAGAGATCGAAGGTGGCACGTCTGAAACACCACACATAAACCCTAGTACAAATTCATTCTTCGACTCTCCCAGTTATTATCTGGTTATGACAGTGTATTTGAATTAGGAATGTATTAGGGAATGCTGCAAAGGGTGCAGCAAGAGAATACAGTAGAATATTACATGGATGTAATATAAGAATCTACTGAAGTGTGGGTATGACTAAAAGAAGATTAGTCAAAGTAAGACTAAAAAGAAGATTAGTCAAAGTAATACAGTAGTAATAAAATGATTCCTTCTCCCATTCATAAAATAAGAAAAATGAAATTCCTTAAAATTAAGGCAGAAAACAAACAAAGGCTTAAAAAGAAGAAATAAGCAGAAGAGGTTTGAAAAACCTTAATAGGAAGAAATAAAGCAAAGAAGTGCTTTCCTCATTTTGCAAGAAAAATCTAAATGATAAGTTAAACAAAGAGATTACTCTTTTTTAATAAGCTCAGGGATGGGATTAGTCTCCCCTGAGCTAGGAAGAATAGATGAAAATTCTATTAATACTTAATTAACTAATTTTTATTTATATTAACTTTTTAATAAGTTTTTATTTTTATAATCACCCACAATTTATTTATAATTAAATGATTAATATTAATAATTACATAACTATTTTATATATTGTCAGTGATGATCAATAAATCAGCATATATCTGAATAAAGTATGATGGTTTAAGACGGGTCTGAGAATTTTTTTAATTTTGTTATTATTTACTTATTTTTTGACAAAGTTAAATACGAATCACTTCGTAATAATATATTTTAGTCTCTGTAATTATTTTATTTTTAAAGTCCACTTGACAATCAAATGTCTATTTTCTTTTTAAAAAAAGAATATAAATAAAAAAATCAAAAGATAAGATTATAGTATTTAAACCATTTTAATATAATATCTTCTCTACTCACAAAAAAAAGGTAAAATAAATCCAAAAAAAGATACAGCTAAGTTCAATGAGCAAAGAATCATTGGAAAAAGCTATTAAAGTAAATTGTACTACTACGTTATTCTTTGCTCGTATGGGAAGTATTAAAAAAGAAGAACTTAAACAATACTGCGAACAATTCGGTCCTGTGAAGGATATTTCAATGATGGTTGATACAGAAACACAAAGACCTAAAGGATGTGGATTTGTAAAGTTCATGACTCATGAAGATGCCAAATTATGTGTTGAAGAAGCTCCTAAAAGAAATAGAAATGACCCACATAAAAGAAATTGGGTAATTGAATGGGCTAAATCATCTCAAATTAAAGAAGGAGATCTTGACAAAATGACAATTTACATTTCAAATCTTAACCAACAAAACGATAATGAAGATATGATCAGACAAAAGTTTAGTGTTTATGGAAATATTGAGAAAGTTACTACTATTGAAAATTCTAAAGGAATGTTTGCTTTTGTGAAATATGAACAAATGGAAAGTGCAATTGAAGCAATTAACAAGGAAAATGGAAAAGAGTGGTGTGGGAATTTAATTGTAGTTGAATTCTCTGAAACTATCGAATCAAAAAGAAATAGAAGACAAAAGGCTACATTAAAGAAACATTGTCAAAGTTCTACTCTTCTTCCTCATACATCTCAGAACCAATCATACGTTCAAATTACATCTCCAAAACAAAAACATATTCCCTCAGAACCAGTTCATCGTACATCAAAGTCATACACAAATTCTCTTTCTCCTCAACAACTTGACCTTTTATTTTTTACTCCTACATCTGCACGTCATATCTCACAATCATCATCTCCAACAACTGAGATGTTTAGTACTCATCACTACAATTTGTCTCATCAATTCAATCATGTTTCTCCATTTGATGCACTCACTCCAGACAATGATAAAGAAACAAGTGATTTACCTATATTTAGAGAGTTAGTATCACCAGCCTCTGAAAAAAAGAAATAGTTTTTCAATTCCTCTTTATTTAATTATTGTATTGTTCAATACTTTATCAATTCACTCTTTTTTTATTTTTAGGTTTTATTTAAAATAATTCAGATTGAATCATTTCAATTACTATGATTCGTTTTGGTGTGAAATGATTTGGATGTTGTTTTCCACAAAGTGCATTTTGATATTCCTTCATATTTAAATGAATGTTGTTTACAATGTGATTGTGTTTTATCATTTTCTTTATAAATACCAGTATCATGTCTAAATGAAAACAAACGAATATTTAATTGATTAAATAATCAAAATGAAAATTGCGGTTGTTTAATATTGAATTTCTTCATTCTTTTCATTCTTCCTTGTGATTTTAATGACAATACAAATGATTTTTGAATCATATATAAAACCATCAACTCTATTAATTCGAGAATTAACATATCCCCCAAATTTATTTCCTTCTTCATCTTCAATAATAATTATTATATGTTCTTTATTCATTATTCTTTCTTCAAATACTGATTTATTAACATTCCAATCATCAACATCAGAATCAAATGTATATTTCCTACTTTTCTATTTGTCCATTCTTCTATTTGTTGAATTTCTTCTATTCCTCTCATTTTTGCAAATTCTCTTCTTCTTGTTTCTTTCTATTCAGACTTCCTAAATAATATTGATAATTCTTAGTAGTATCATCAATTGGTTGTTCTTGTTTATTAATTCTTCCATTTTAATTTATTTGATGTTTATAAGTTCAAAATATGGATGTTTAAATAGTTAATACACGTTATTAACATCAAGTCAATCATTATTTTTATCATTTAAAAAAGTGTTATTCATTTTTGTTAACAATTATAAAAACAATAATTATATAATAACTAGTATATGAATTAGCGTGTGTTCAGTGTTATATAATAAAATAATAAAGATATTGTAATGATAATGATTTATTTAATTTAAATGAAGAGAAATACATTTGCCATTACTATTATTCTTTTATATTCTTTTATTTTATCTCAATATTATTATCATTTTTCACTTAATTAACAAAATGAAATGAATATAATCATTTATTCATCATTTATTCTTTATTTGTATGTTTATTTGATGTTGTGTATTAAAAAGTATTTATAAATCAATTAAATTTTTATTTATTCTATTTCATGTTGTGATTTATTGATTTTTGTTGTTTATGTGGTGTTAATTATTGAATTTATGAGATGGTACCATTTCATTTATTTTCATTATTTATTCTTGTTGTGTGTTCTAATCCAACACTTCATCTCATATCTTTCTGATTATAATTTATGACAGTACAAAATATAGACTGTTTAAAAGATGAATAATTTATTTGATGAGTGTCATTTCAATCTATTGTATTTATAATATTTTCATGTGATTAGTTGTGATTTTCATTGTTTTCTTTTAGTTTATTGTTTATTGAATTGAGAATTGTCAAACGATTCGATAATTGTATCAATTAAATTAACATCAACATTTATTGATATTCAAATGCATTTTTGTTTATTTCATACTCAATATGATTTACATTTTAAATTGATGAATGATGAGAATGTGATTCATTAATTAAATTCATATTTTCATTCTGATTTTATTATTAATTGAACAAATAATATTAAATTAATTGATTGAACAAAATATAATTGTTATAATAACGAATAATGATATTGGTACTATGATAAATAAATATATTAAATAATGAAATAACAATATATCATTCAAAATTATTCATTGTTATTACTAATTTATGATTATTATCATAACAAAGATTAATTCGTTTATTAATTATTTATTTAATGATTTTATTTAACATTGAATCATAAATATAACAAATGAATTGAATATTGTTCAATTAAAAATTGAATATAAAGATAAATTATAATATTTATTGAGAAATGAGGTATCAAATGTTATACAATGTATTATAAATTCAGAATAAAAATACCATCATCACAAATACATTTCATCTTCATATGTTTTGATGATTATAATATTCATTGTTTTGTGATTCTATAATCAGATGAATATATTTTATTAACATTTTCTCTTCATATACATTGAAACAATTTATCAATACTAAATATTAATTTATAATATGTTTTATTGATATTTTCAAATATGTATTATCTATTTCTCTATTTATTATCTTATTCTTTTTATTTTAACCTTTTTATTTGTTATTTTCATTTCTTAGTCATTTCTCATTTATTTTTACTTATTTTTATTCTCTTTTGCTTCTTTGTTTATTTTTGTTTTATATCTAATTAACGTCGAACAATTCCTTTGTTAAGTTTATATTCCTTTTATTTCTTAATTATTGATTCTTCATCATTTAATTATTTCTATGATATTAAATATTCATATCATTATTTATATCGGATTTTTGTTTTACGTTATATCTATTTGACTTAATTTAACAATGAATGAAATGATAGTCCAGAAATGAAATAATATAAGTACTGTTCAGAATCAATGATAATAACATTAATTACAATGTCATTCAAAATATTCTTTCTTTCCATCTTCTTATAATGAATTTCAATATAAAATGAGTCAAAATCATATCAAATTCAAATAAATAAAAAAACTATAAAAAAGAAACGAATTAAAAAAAAAGATACTAATAAAAAATAATAAAATATTATAATAATTATATTTTTATCTAAATAAATTGGGTATTGAAATTTTTATATCTTGGATTATATCTTTGAAAATTATTTCTTTAAGTATTGAGTTTTGGGGAATTAAAGCTGTATTGAAATAGTTGTTTTAATAAACAAAAATTTAAATGATAAAAGAATAAAAAACAAACTAAATCGAACAAAGTTATAATAGCAGCTTATTAATGTTGCTAACATTCATTGCTTTTGCTCATATAGTTTGTGTGATAGTTTTGAGTGTTATGGTAATGAACCATAGTTCAGGAAAGTCTTATACCTTAAACGCCTTACCGCTGAGTTATTCTCATCAAAATATAACAATAACAGGATTTAATCTCACAGGACTAAATTATGAGAGAGAGTGTGGAGATATCTTTAAATACCCCAAAGCCACAGAACGTGATGTGATACTATTTTCTTATGGACATACAAGAAAATGGAAACACAATAAGAAGGATATGAGGTTTGCCTTTTCTTTGGTAAGAAAAGTATTACCTAAAGTTACGTTAGTAATGTTAACTATGGGAGACGTGCCACAAGATTTTATACAATTAATGACTGAATTTAATGTAACTATGGTTCCATCTCCAAAACAATATTTAAAAGGATGGAATTGTGTTAACGCAAGAATTCCATTGAGTTTAGAATATCTTAAACAACACCAAAGTGATATTGACCGAGTTGCATGGTCAGACACTCGTGACGTTTTTTATTTTAATGACATTTTTGCAACAATAGGGATGAATGATTTAGTGTGGATGAGTGAATGTGTTTCACCTACTGACTGCTTTAGACATTCAACAACAGGACAAAAGTTACACTTTTATTGGATGTGGTGGTTTTACGGAAGAGATGAAGCATTCAAACTAACACAGTATAACACCCCTACTTTAAACGGAGGTTTTGGTATTGGAGGTGTTTCAAGAATGATTCAATTATTAACAAAATTAAATCAAGAAATGGATCCTAAATTTACTTTTCAATGGGGGTATGACCAAACGCTATTGAATTATCTTTATTATAAAGGAGAATTAATAGACGTTGGTCTAGACGTTGACAGGTGTACACAAAGAATGTGTTTTGCAAATAAGTTAAATATCGTTGGAAATGGAAAGAGCACAACATTTTCTATGAAAGGGTCTTCTTGCGCACCAGTTTTACTTCACAAGGGATTACCCTCTCGGTTAATGGAAATGACCATAACATATAGGTAAGTAAAATAATCTCGTATGATGAAAGAAGCTCAAAACAATTCTATTTTTTTCGTATAACAAAAAATGCTTCTATTTTTTAATTTTAATTTTTTTTTGTTATTTTATTTTGATATTTTGATTGTCAGTCAAATAGAGAGGAAAATGTTATTGTTAAGAAACAAACACCACAAAACAATTATAATTGAATAATTATCAAAATGGAAGAGTGACGTTTTTGAAAGAAGGATAAGTGTGATGTTAACAATGACACAAAGACTAATAAGAATATTGATAATTAAAATGATATATCCTCATTGAAATGGTTAAGAAAAACAATAAATAAAAAAAGATAAATATAAAATAAGAAGGTAGAAAAGAAAAAAAATAGAAGATTTGGAACGAAGATAATAAACGAAGCAAAAACAATAAAAGATAAAAGGAATTAAAAATGATAAAGAAGTACAAAACAAAAAGAAGAAATGAAAGAGACGATATTATGAAGAGAAAATAAATAAAAGAATGAGAATAAGAAAATAAAAATAGAGGAAATAAATAACAAATAATAAGAATAAAGAAGAATAGACAAATGGAAATAACTTTCAATAAGAAAAGAAAGATATTATTAACACTTCTATTCATAACAGACTAACTGAAATGAATAATGGTTTTAATAAACAAATAACATATATGAGGAAGGAGTGAAAATATAGAAAATACATAAATAAAATAGTCAAATAAATAGAATGAAATAAATAAAAAAGTCAAAATGAATTAAATTTAAATCAACATTTCACTCATTGTATTAGTTATATATTCACAAACAAGTGATTGAATAAATATAAACAAAGAAAGTAGAATATAACAGAGACTGGTATGAAAATACCAAAACAATAGGACAAAATAAATATACACTGAGAAAAAAACAGAAATAATTATATAATTCATTTTTGAATTATATCAAAAAATTGAAATAATAAAAAAAACATGAAACAAAAGTATGGTATATAGAAATGATGGATATGAATTAACAGAAACAAAACAACAACATTCGATGGATGGAACGAAAACAATAATGAATTGTTCAATGATAACACATGAATTGATTATTAACACAAAGCACAATAAAACAACAAATAAGATAAATATACTTGTCCACTTAATTACATGAATAAAATATTAAAAAAAAAAACAAATAATTCATAATGACTTTAATTTATAGTCAAATGACTTTAATTATAATTATACAAAACGAATAGAAATAAAGAAAATAAAACACAGACAAATAAAAATACATAGCCAAAATAAAAGACCTATATATGAAGATAATTGAAAAAGAAACAACAAATAAAATGAAAATAACATAACAAGAAACACATAGAAAATAAAATAGAAAAGATTAAACTATCATATTATAATATTAAAAACAAAGAATAATAAATAATTAAAATAAAAATGAATAATATTTTTATTTCATTCAAATATATCAAATTGAAATATATTTATGAGTAACCAACATTCGAATCAATATTAGAAAAAATTATAATAAATGGAAGAAAGGAATATTCATTGATATAATAAGATATAAAATAAAAGCAGTATTTGATAGATAATAAAAAATATGAGACCTTCAAATGAATAATACAAATAAAAAATACATGAAAAAGTCAATTAATACCAACGCCAAACTAAAATTAATAAACCAAAATAAAAGTCAAAAGAGAGAATAAGAGAAGAGTCAAATGGAGAATATTATTGATGAAATATTTGAAAAACATACATAAAAATAAGAGAAAAATCAGCAAAGGAAAATAAATCAACAATTTATATTGAATATAAAATGGAAAGAAGAAAGAATATAAATGATAAAAGAGTAGTAATGTTAGAAATTTTTATTCTATTCTATTTTATAAAAATAGTTCTTTGTTTGAATGAAGTATAAAAATAAAATAAGGAAAAAGATGAATGAATTGATGAAACACAATCCTAATGAATATACCATCAACTAAATTATTATTCTTATATTAAACAAATTGAGAATATATTAATTATATTTTAACACAATTAATAACAATGACATTTCTTATATATTATTAGATGAACAAGTAGTTTCTTTTCATTCTAAAGTTAAACCTCTGTTTAAAAGTATAGCATTGATGCACACTCTCTAACTCTTTGTTTTCAATAATTTAATGAAACTATAATAAAGAAGGGTAATTTCATAATGCATTTATGTTGAAGATATTGAAGATTAAATAAAAATGATAAACTGCATCATTTCATTTTCAATAATAAATAAATTTACAACAATAAAATGTATTAGAGATATTGTTAATGATGAAAGATGAATAAGTAAAATACACACAAACAAATCCAAGACATTGTCATATTATCCAAAAAGTATAGAATAATAATTCTAATTGAATATGTAAGACAATATTTCTATGAAAATGAATAAAAAAAGTCCCAAAGAAGTGAGTCTAAAGGATGAGTTTAACTTTAATGAATAAAGTAAAAAAATATTTCTTAAAGAAGTTATATAGTTTTATAAAATTGTCTCTTATCTTTAATTAAAAAATATTAAAATTTTAAGACTTGGACTTAGTTTTTTCTTTTATAAAACAAAAAGAATGAAATTTAAAAAAAGGTTGAAGATATTTTCTTCATTTATCTAACGGTTCCATCAACAACTTCATCAACAGTCACTGTAAGTTCAGTATCTTTAACAATAAGTGGAACATCATTAGTTCTAACTAATCCTCCTTTCAATGAAAGATTCATCTTTCCAACAACATCAATTGAAATCTTCTTAGCAGAAATAGTAACTTTACCTTCTTTTGGAATAACTTGTGCTCCAATAGCAGCATCAGCACTTGGATGACAGAATTTAACTTTAGTACCATCAAGTGAAGTAGCAGCAAGAATCATAGCTTCTGATGCAACTCCTCTTAATTTGGATGGTTTTAAGTTACATACAAAAGTAGCTTTTTGATTTAATAATTCTTCTGGTTTATAATGTTCAGCAAGTCCAGCAACAACACTTCTTGGTTTTTCTTCTCCAACATCAACTTTAAGTGCAAGAAGATGTTCACTATTTGGATGTGGTCCAGCTTCAACAATTTTACCAACTCTAATTTCTAATTGGAATCCATCAAGAACTTCTTTGACATTACTCTGTTTTCCACTTCCTTTAGCTTTACTTTTAGTTGTTGTTGCAGTAGTACTTGGAACTCCTTGTTTTCCACTAAACTTTGCTCTTAATTCTTCAATCTGTTCTTTTGAAATCATTTTGAAGATAACTTCTACTTTTCCTAACATAGTTTCTCCTTCAAGAAGAAGTCCAAAATCATTTGGTAATGGAATAGCTGGTAAATTCATTTGTTCTCTAACCTTTTTACCAAACTCTGGTATATATGGGTCAAGTACAAGTGAGACAAAATAAAGGATATTCAATGCATAATAAATTTCATCACCAGCTCGTTCTTTATCACTTTTAATTGTTTTCCATGCAGCAGTGTCTTGAAGATATTTATTACCAACAGATGAAATAGCCATAGCAATTTTTAATCCTTCTTTTAATTTAACATTTTCCATTGCATTAAGATATTCCTTATATAATTCTTTAATTTCTTTTTCACAATTTAATTCAACTTCTGTAATTTTAGTAATCTTCTTTGGTATTTTATTATCAAAATTCTTTACAGCAAATGTTAATGTTCTTTGAGCAAGATTTCCAATATTCTTTAATAACTCATTATTATTTTTCTCCATAAGATCATTCCACAAGAATACTGTGTCAGATTGTTCTGGTCGATTAATGAGAAGATAATATCTCCATACTTCTGGTGGGATTCCAGTTTTCATGGCATCATCTCCAAATACTCCTGTTCCATTTGATTTGGAGAATTTACAGTCTTCATAATTCAAATATTCAGTAGTTGCAAGTTTTCTTACCATAGTCCATGATTCTCCAGTTCCAAGAAGTGTTGATGGGAATAAAACACTATGGAATACAATATTATCTTTTCCAAGGAATTGTGTTAATTCTACATGTTCATTATCCATCCACCATTTCTTCCAATCATCAGTATAATTAGCAGTAATAGAAAGATATCCAATTGGTGCATCAAACCAAACATAAAATACTTTATTTTCAAATCCTTCTAATGGCACTTTAGTTCCCCATTTAAGATCTCTTGTGATACATCTTCCTTTTAAATTATTTAACCATGTTTTTGTAGCACATGCACAGTTATTTGGCCATTCATATTTACTCATTGTTTCATTTGCCCAATTTCCTAGTTTATCTTGAAGTTTTGGAAGGTCAATAAAAAGATGTTCTGAACTTCTTCTTACGGGAACAGAATGACAGACTTTACATTGTGGATTAATTAATTCAACAGTATTAATTAATTTTTGGCAACTATCACATTGGTCTCCACGAGCACCAGGGGCATTACAAAATGGACATACTCCTTCAACAAATCTATCAGCTAAAAATTTATCACACTTTTCACAATAAAATTGTTCTACTGAATCTTTATAAATATAACCATTATCATTTAAATGTTTAAAAATGTCTTGTGTAATTTCAGTTTGTTTTTCAGTTGATGTTCTTCCAAAGTAATTAAATGAAATGTCAAACCAGTCATATACCTCTTTATGAAGGGTATAATACTTATTACAAATTTCTTGTGGTGTGCAATGTTCTAACAATGCTTTTTGTTCTGTTGTTGTTCCATATTCATCAGTTCCACAAACATACAAAGTGTTATATCCTCTCATTCTACAATATCTTGCATAAACATCAGCAGACAAAACGCAACCAATTAATGTACCAAGATGAGGTACATTATTACAATATGGTAATGCACTAGTAATAAGAATATTTCTTTCACCAACAACTGGTGTTGGTTTCTTTTCGCAACTCATTAAATCTTGTTATTTTTTAAGTTTTCCATTTAGGGTTTTCTTCTTCTTTTTTCTTCAAATTTTCATAAATTTTCTTCTCAGAACAAAATAAA